AAAAAAATACTCGCATAAATGGCTCGCATGACTCGCATGACTCGCATGGCTCACACCGTGGCTCGCATGGCTCGCTGGCTCGCAGATTTAGCAGACCCGATTCACTGACCTCGAAGAATTTTTTTCTCAACCATTTCCTGCCCGAGCTGTGGCAGCCCTGACTTTATTTTAACAAATCATGAATTCAATGTGTTAAGACTTAATTGCTAAAACCCATCCTGGGGCTGCCATAATCTGCTAGTTGGAGACATTGAGACATAAAATTATACCAAAGAAGTAACAGAGCAAACGCTGTCCTTTAAACATAATCTTATGGATTTTTATTTTTTTTCTACTGCATTAAGATAAAAAATAACAGAATAATCAAGTTTCTAGTATTTTTGGGAGAAAGCTTCATTTTAATTTTAACTCTATACAGACCATATTCATAAACAGCTTGTTTGAATTTTTAGTTAGGCACCTTTCTAAGGGATAATGAAGTCACTCAAAAACACACACAACATAAATTACATTTTATGCTATAAGGGTGTTAGGTGTTAATGTTGTTCATAACTAAAAGTGTAGCCCTTTACAAGGTTGACACAATACTTTGACAAAATTTAGATATTGTTAGTATTGAGCTACCTTTGAAATAGAATATCATAGTTTCTCATTTTAAGCGTTGATAGTAAGTTTTGATTCTCTTCATAAATTACTTTGAAGGTGTTGCAAAATTCAAAGAATCATTCAAGAATACAGTCTGCTATTTTTTTTTTCATACCATAAAGTTATATGCCTGTAATACCAATGAACAGGGAAAATAGAAAAAAATAATCGAGCTACTGGTCAGTCATGTTTCTTAGTAAAAAAATAACTTGTTTCATTTGAAGACGACACAAATTGAACCAGAACTTCACTCTTATGTCTAACATAACTAATTTAGAGACACAAGCAAAAAATATATCATACATTCAAAATACTTATAAACATGTATGAACAGAGAAGAGACCTTTTCCCCATCAAGAACTCAACATTACATTAGATATGGGGGATGTTTTATGTATATACAATTCTGATAATCTGTATATTATTGATAATAATTTAATAGTCATACATCATTTTATAACATTTGATCTTATAGCATGAAGACTTATAAACTGAACACGCCATAATACACATATAATAGTTCTTTGATATCGTTTCTATATTTTGAGTATATTTCTTACAATATTGTATTTTAAATAAAATAAGAATAAAAATTAAAATCTTCATTACACAAAAGGTACAACAGAATGCAACAAAACATAACAGAATGCAGTGACGCCAGTTTGCCTTACACCTTCTGTTCCCTGAAACGTGTTGGTACCAGGAATTGAATATTCCTTTTTTAAATAGAATCAATAGAAAAACTAGATCAAATTGAGTGATAACTGTTTGACAAGAACTCTCCTCAAATGATCTGACTAGATAATCCTCGTCCGCCATTCATGAAGTTTATGTTACATTCCATCAAAATTGTAAATCAAAATACATAAATAGAGATTTTTATCTGGGGCACATACAATCTCATTCCCAGAGTCTTCGTTCCCCTTGACCAGCGGTCGGAAAATGAGAGCTCTGGGAGCAATCATTTCAAGCATGTGCCATAGATGCAGACTGTGCAGTGAAACCGGATGGGCAGAATTCGGTTATTTCCTTTGTTATTTCAAAATGGTTACTCCTAGAGCTCTCGTTTTCCAACCGCTGGTCAAGAAGAACGAAGACTCTGGGAACGAGATTGGGACACATATTGTCCACATACAAAAAGTAAAAGGAAATTAAAAAAAACTAAAAATAGCATAAATTTCAATGTTTAACAAACTCCTGGAAGCATGTTTAAAGTGCACATATTTCACCGATGAATACTTAACTGATAAATATAGTAATAGCTGATAATAGTCTACAGCACTTGTGCTTTAAAGATAAATTAATACTTAACAGTAACTGCCACCCTATATCAGTTGGTACTAAAATTTAATGGTATCAAATGTGCGATCATCAGCAGAGAAAACCTGTCAGGTGTATTAATTTACCCTTAGCAATACCAGTTTAATAACTGGTAGAGGGGGGGAGGCCTGGATGAAAAATACTGGGTTTGGGGTCAGAGCATATGGCCGACTGAGCAAGGTCTGAGCGTCCTGATCAAGAGCCAAATATTTTCTAGTCCAGCCCAAGCTACCCCAGTCAAAAAGTGTTTTAACATACCAAGAATGTGAGACATTTCTTGAGCTTGACTTGGTAAGAAGCTGTGAAAAATTCCTGGTGACAATTTTGAATTGTGTGATTGCACACGTCGAATGAATTGTTGATATGTGCTGGGCTGAATGGTCTTTTCTGGGCTGGCTAACATTAACTTCTCCAGCCTTACACACATCAGTTTGTGTGATGTTTTTTTCATAGGATTGTGAGTGTGTCTTATGGTGGTATGATAAATACAGTAATTTTACTACCTACGTGCTCTCTTTAAATTGGCCTTAAGTGTTTATGAGGAGTTCCAAAATGAACTCAGTGTCCTCCCATGTTTTGCTATAACTTGAATGATCAGCATGATACGATTGTAAACACATAGAGTTTTGGTTAGGTTAAGACACTTACTAAAAGAGGTTCAAAGTCACCAAAATTGTCAATCCTCAAGTATTCATTTCATACCACAATTATTAGCTGATATTGGGTAATGTGACCAGTATTGCTAATTTAAGGAGCTCAGTCACCTTATTTTAAGTTATTTTGGCCACATACAAAATTACCAGTACCTTTAAATTGAAGGAAACATGAAAATAGGAGTTCTACTAAAATTGAAAAATACCAAAGAAAATAATAAACCTTAAAGGAACAAGGATGGTGATGGATGGAGAAGATTAACATGGTTACAAAGGAAGAAATTTGAAAAACTTAGGCTTAACTCTTAAAGATGCCCAAATAGTGACACAGCTCTTTTAAACATACTTAAAACACTTTGACTTGTCAGCAGGTAGTCTTGTTTTAAACAGGATAGAATCTGCTCTGAACTGTGTCCTTAACAGTGGCATGTACCCATACACCTCCACAAAGAAATTGATGCATTTGCTACGCTCTTCAAAGTGAGTTTTATCTTCCCAGAGGGAAACAGGACAGTTTGGGCATGAGAAGGTCCAACGTGATGTCACCTGAGTAAAATACACAATTTCTATTTAAAATATTGTAAGCTAGAAGTGTTCATTGACTGGGTCAGAAGAATTCACAAGAAAAAGCTAACAGTGTGCAAAGAAAATCCTGTTCAATAGCCAAGGGTTAGTCATAGTGGATTCTGTGGTCAGGAACATGGATTCTGTCTGTCACATGCCGAATTGGCAGATTAGTACTGTTAGTAAGAGATCAGAGTAAGAACTCAGAGTAAATTGTTTTAATGTTAGCTTTTTAATTAATGAAGATTTGTGTTACTGGGACATTTTTTCCAAGCCAGTAAAAATGAATACGAAAGTTTCAGCTTGCCCTTATAAAAGGCAAGCTGAAAGGAAAACTGATTCTCTTTGCACCCTGGTTAGGTATGTCCAGCAAACCTGGGTTGTTTGAAAGGTGGACAACGCTACCCACTGGATAAATCACTATCCAGTGGATAGCATGGTTTGTTTTGTCAACATTTACCCACGAATAGTGATTTATCCAGTGGATAGCATTATCCAGGCTTTGAACAACCGGGGCCAGGCCTCTGTCCACATTATACAGTTTTACACAACCACCCCCACCAGTCACCAATGCAGGCACAAATTCTCTATTTTGGATAACTTGATTTGTTCTCTGATAAATACATACCTTAATCGGGGGTTTTCTTGTGATATGAGAAACCAAGAAATTCATTGCAAGGTCTTCGCAGTTCATGTACTCATCTACTTTATCTCTTATGACTTGTGGCATCCAATGTGTGTACAGATATCCATAATACTATTAAAGAGAATAATAATCTAGTAAACCCAAATTAACAGTCATTCAGATCCATGATTGCCACATACATTGCTTCCCTGACTTTTCCCCAACTTTTCCCTGATAAAAATAATCTTTCCCTGACCAAATAATTTCAAAATGTTAGGTACACATGTAGTAGCAGCTTCTTGGCAGTCCCCTTAAAGCTGTCCTTTCCACACACTCATTAAGACTAAACATTTTCAAAAAAAAGGTTCCTTCCTCATTAAGAATTAGGTTGGCCCCAAATGTTCCTCTCAGCCTTCAATGGTATTGAATCAGCCATGTTAAATTGTTTCAATTTTCCTGGACTTTTTCAAAATTATGTCAATTTTCCCTGACTCAAAATAAAATTCCCTGATCTTGAAGAATTTTTTCCCTGGCCATTTCCTGACCTGTGGCAACTGTGAGATATATTTGCTATTATCCTGATTCAAATATTTGGTTTTCAGTCACTCGCACTGTTTTCCAAAAAGTCTGCATTTGAGCCCAGTTGCTCTAAGGGTGGCACTTATCTCCTGTTCAGTAGAATCAAGTGAACAGGAGTATTTCTACTTCCCCGTGGATGGGATGCTGTGCCACCACAGGAAACCCACCAGCATATGTACCCACTGATACCCCTGCATAAGGAGAGGTACTGCAGGAATTAACTGTCCCATCCAAGAACACCACACAATGACCTTGGCCAGAGCTTCATTGCATCTTGGCTGCTTGATCTGAAGTCTTCAATACAAGCGATATCCAGTAAGTCGTTGCACCTCTCAAAGACCCCAGATTAAAATCAAAACTCTCATTATTGTTGAGATAAGTTAATAAAGATAGAGAATTTTAAGCTCGGTAATGAAATGCGAAGGTGAATTAATCAACACGACATGAGCGTGGGACAAAGAAAAATTCTGAGTTCCCGACAGGAATTGAACCCATGACCTCCCAAACACCGGGCGGGTGCTCTATCCACTGAGCTACGAGAACTCATGGAGAGCGAGGTCATTTAACTGA